CCCCTAAATGTGATAGCATAAAATCAATCAGTGATCAAAAACTAGAGTATTTACTAAGAAGTACAATACATTATATTACAATTAAAGATGGTTACAAAAATCAAAAGAAACTTTATATCAAAATGATAAAATCATAGTTAAACAAATTATTTTGAGACTTAGATCTGATTCTTATTGAGCAATATAAACAATCTTTAGCATGTAAAAAATTCAGGTTCTTTGTCATATTAACTTTTAGAATAAATGTTTTTTGTTGCAACTTATTAACAAAAGTAAAACTAAATAATAAATATTCCCAACTTTACTTCAACAATCTTTGCCTATGATACAACCCAATACCAGAACACTTTGATTGTATTTTCTCTTGCTTCAAGAATTATGTTATTCTCAAGCAAAAAAACAAAAAGATAATAATACTAATTATCAGCCTTATTAACAAAAGCAATAAGATCAAATCCAAAACTAAAACAAAAACACTATCAATAATTTAACAATTATAGCATCTATATTATATGAATAGACAGCTGATATCTTCTCACCTCCAATTAATCTCTCCAATAAATATAAAGGAACAATAGCAAAAAAAGTATCAGAAATTATTTTTAAACATATTGAATCCCAAGATTAGTGATAGCCAATACTTCTTTATCTTCAGGAATTCAATAGAAAAAATCTATTATTCCAACCTAGCAACAATTCAATTATAAAAAAATCTCTTCTTTAACCAATCTACTCTTAAACTGTTTTTCGAAAACTAATTCTATAAACATTATTGACTTAGTAGTAAACATATATATTAATGAAATTTATTATTTTAACAAGATATTTTCAATAATACCTAATACTGTTTCATGGATAAAACAAGCACTGTCTATTCTTATTACTTCCAATAAGCCTTTTTGAATATTGAAAAGTTTAATAAGTCACTGTGTCTAAGTGAATATTTATAATTTAATATTATTTTAATTATCGATACTTGATATAATCTTGATCTGATGATCTTATAATTGTATAAATCTATATATACAGAGGGTGAACAAAAGTTTATGGATAACTTTTTTTTTTTAAAATAAAATTTAATTTAAAAACTAATTAAATTTTTTTAATAAAAATATACTTAATATATAAGTGCAATGTATTTAATTTTTAAAAATGTATCATTATAAAAAAAATTTTTTTTTATTTACTTGAAAATTTTACTTCAATTTTTGTGTAACTGCTAATGCCTGCTAATAAAGAATTAACTTTTAAACAAAAAGCAGCCATAATTTATGGTTACAAAAAAAAAGATATCTATCGTAATATTATAGCCAATAATGAATGCAAAAAAAATATGGTGGATAATGTTATAAAGTGTTTTATTGAAACTGGATCCACATAATTGTGAACACAACGATCAGGATGATCATGACTCCTCAATAAGCATGTTTATATCACCCTAAAAAAACTTGTTACTGGTAAAAAGGGTAACAAATGTGTTATTTCTGCAAAACTAATTAATCTTTTTATAGCCAAAATGGGAATCCAAGTATCTGAAAAAAATATTTGTCAAACTCTACATAAAAAACAGTTAAGAAACTGTATTGTCCGTCCCAAGCCTTTTCTTTCAGAAAAAAATATTGAAGACCAACTTATCTGATGCCTTGTACATAAAGATTGGACCATTCAGAACTTCAAAAAAGTAGTCTGAAGTGACAAGTCTACATTTACTCAATTCTAGCAAGGGAGTAAATGTCGTGTTTGGTATAGTCTACATGAAGAGTGAAATGCTGAATGCTTTTTTACCACCGTTAACTATAGCTCAAGCTGTATGTATTGGGGTGTTTTTTATGGTTTGGTGTTGATTCCCTTGTTTCTCTTTGCATCTTGGTTAAAGGTAAGGATAAAATGTTTATTAAATAAAAAAAAAATAGTTTTTTAAAAAAAAAAAATTTTTTTTCGATTTACTGTAAAAAAAAAAATTAAACTTACCTTTTTTTCTTTATAGCAAAGTCATATATTACAACTCTTCAAGATCATCTTTTGCCAGCCCTTCGAAATTTTAATGGAACCAATTGGGATCATAGTGACTACCTTTGATTTCAACACAATAATATAAAGCCACATGCCGCGAAAATTATGAAGAAGTTTCTTGCTGATAAAAATATTCAGGTTATGGACTGGCCTTCTTGAAGTCCAGATTTTAACCCAATCGAAAACTTCTGGCATTATATTAAAGTTCAGGTTCATGAGATCAAATCTAATAATTTAATAGAGCTCAAGGATTGTGTTTTAAAATGTTGGAATGAGATCGATCTGGCATACTGTAAACAATTAATCAAGAGTATGCCATGTTATATTACAGCTTGTATCACAGCTAAGGGAGACTACAAAATATTATAAAAAATATAATTAGCTATATAGATATCTATAAATCAGTAAAATATAAATTAATAATAAAAAAATGTGTAATTAGATATTTAAAAAAATTTAATTTTTTTTTTTTATATATTATACCCGTTAAATAAGAAATTTGAAAAATTTATTAAATTTTTTTTTCTCAAAAACTATTGCATAATTTTTTAAAAAATTTTTTTATTTAAAAGTTTAGTTTTTAAAGATTTTAAATATATTTTTTATTTATTTAATTTTCTATTAATTTAATTTAATTTTTAATTTTTAAAATTATCCATAAACTTTTGTTCACCCTTTGTAATTAATAAAAGTCTTGCATTTCTTGTTCTGTTTGCAGTTAAAAAAAATTATAAAAGAAAAACTTGATAAAACCTATATTATATAAAAGATTAGGACTCTGAAAAGTAACAAAGTGATATTGAAATAGTATTGAAATGATACTAATTTATAGTAAATTTAGTATATGGGTTGTAATTCACTTATATAAATTTATAGTAAATTAAATATTGAACTGATATTGAAATGATATTGAAGTAGTATTATTAAGAATCCTATAAAATATTGTTTCTTTTTAATGTGGTTTTTAAACAAAGAAAGTTAATTGAGCAAAGAAATAATAAAATAAAAACATTAGTTTAAGAGAAAAAAAGATTTAAGAAGAAAAGAATTTTAAAAACAAAAATTAGTTATATGAAAAAAAAAAACAAAGTTTTGTATAAAAAAATGGAAAAAAAAAGAAAATAATATAAAAAAAGGATAAGTAAGAAATACAGAGAGGTAAAAGAAGTATTGAATGTTTTTTTTTTTAATTTAATTTAACTATTTATAAATTATTATGATATTTATTATGATTCTCCTATTTATGAAATGATTATAATACTTTGTACGACTTCTCTCTGCAGCAATTACAGTCTGAACTCGACATTGATTTAATTAAATTTCTATAATAGCTCGCTGGTATCACTTTCTATTTCTTTTTGTATGTTATGTTGACGAATCTTAATCTCAATATACGAAAAATATTTCAATGGGGTTTGTGTTGGGGTTTTGTGCTGGCCAAGAGAGAAGCTCAATATTTGAGATAAGAAAGGATCTTGAAATCTTCGCGATATAAACAGGTGCATTTTCCTGAAAACAAACTTTTTTTTTTTACCTTCACTGCATGCAATTTGACTGTAGGAATGGCATATTCTTCAAGAATGTTATGGTACACTGCACCTGTAACACATCCAACCAAAGGAACTAGCGGATCCAATCCAACATAAGAAAAACAGCACCAAAACATGCAACTTGGATTTTTTTTAACCATAGTTGCAATGCAAACATCGTAAATTCTTCAAAATATTTACGCCAAACACACCCAAACCCTGAAGTTTAAAATTGTGCATAGGTAGATTCGTCCGAACAAATGATTTTTTAAAATATTCTATATTCTAATATTCATGATCAAGTGTCCAAGAGAGTAATTTAGCTTTATTGTCTTTAGAAAATAGTGGTTTGCAGCGGGAATTCGTGAGCAGACTCCATTTTTGATTGATTTTTTACTAATAATTCAAATACTGTAGAAATATATATATATTTATTTATTTAGGTAAGTTGAACAAATTTGTAAAAGAGTTTGACGGCAGGATTTTTTGTTTCAGGTTACTGAAGCCTTGATGCAGATTTGCTAAGAATTGATGGACGATTTGATCATTTTTTAAATGATTTTTTAAGCTCATATGCTTCTAACACGTGGATTGTAGAAGAACGGGAACAACCTACAGCTTCAGAAATCTCGGTATGAGTGTGGCCAAGCTTTTTTGCAATAATAATACCACCTTTCTGACTTTCTGTTAATTCTTTTCCATGGTACATGATGTGGTAAAATTTAAAGGGTGATTTTTTGAGAGGAAATTGCACATAACTTTATAACTCCTGGATGCATCACACGAACATGAGATTCGTTTTGGTTATAGAGCACCACTATGTGTAAATAATTTATTATAAATTTATTGGTCAAAAAAACAAGATCCGATGATGTAAATTAATTTAAAAATACGCATTACTGTACATTCAATATTTCTTTCACTCCTGTATGAAAAAAACAAAAAACTAAATAACTCGAAAATTCACTAATAGAAAATTTTAAGCAAAAGAAGAGAAAGTGTAAAAGTTTTTTTTGTTAAAAATAAAAATTTGGATTTATTTTATTAGTATTTATTTATATCATATAGCTTAAAAGTAATAATATGCAGTAAAATATATTTCATTTGGGATTTTGGAATTTAAAACTTAAAACTTTTAATAATGATATAAAAGGATACGTAATAAAAAAAAATTTGTAATTATTTTCTATAGATAACAGTAAATAAATAATGTTGATTATTTTAATAACAATTTTTATTTATATAAAATTTAAATGTATATTATATATATAGAAAAAAAAAATTTGAATTTCTGAGTAAGAACAAATGTTGATATTTAGTTAAACGTTGATTTCGCTCTCTTTTTATAAGATCATGAGAGTGGAAATTTTTACTTTATCATGACAAGCATATTTAATTTACTATTTCTGATTCAGATCGAGCCCTTATCTAATTAAATTTAATTACATAAATTAAGCGCTATCGAAAATCCATATATTTCTCATAATTTCTTTGAATGTACGAATTCTGTCCATAATTTAGAGATATTGATAATATTTTATCTTTTCTTACATGGCGTAAATTTATCCCTAGTCTATATCCATATATACCTTTTTATTAATGATTTAAACTTTTTTTAACTATGCATATCTCTTAAATTCAAGAATAATAAACATTGTATATTAACGAAGCATAAGAACTTCGATTCATAAAATAATCCTTTTTTACTTTCTTTCTAACACTTCATTGGTGAGTCATATATATTGTAACGGGCTAACGGTGAGTTTGTCGCTAGCTGGGAACAGAATTCGCGTAGCTGTCACTTTAGTTTTAACAATTAAAACTCGAATTCTTCTCATTTTATTTAATACTCTCTTTGGATTTTATACATGTTTTAACAAGCATTTAGATGGAATTTTTAGAATACCAAAGAAAAAGATCGAACTTCTATATTATTAAAGGTAAGTGATTCTAAATTACATATTATCTCTGTCGATTGTTCGTCATTCATTAATCATTGTTATTACAGGTTGATACTTCGCGATACTAAAATTGATCTCGTGACATTGTCGCATCTCATTTTTACTTACAATATGAAAATCAATTTTTGTCATGATCATTATTGGTCAACTAACAATATGTTATTTATGTTAAGTATACATTTGCACAATGAATATAACAAAAATTTCAGGACTCAAAATAATTTTTACGAGTATAACTGAAATAATTTCAAATAATACGAGTTATAATATTAATTATTTGCGATCTTTATATTTGGACTAACAATTGATGTGAAACAACAAGTTTTATGACAACCCCATATCTCGGCTACCACAAAGTACCTAAAATTATAAAAAAAACCTGAGTGAAGTATTAAATTTCTGAATATTTTCGACAATGATCCCAAAGCGACTAAATTAAAATATAGAAACTTTGTGACTCCAAGCTATCTTATTTATAATAAATATTGATATAACTCTTTCGAGTCTTCTTAGCTTCAGTTAATGCTTTTCCTGTCGATTCTCCTATACTATTCCAACACATATTTAACTCTGTAAGAGTGGTATTCTTGCATAGAGCCTCAGCCAGTGCTTTTCCTGCCGAATCTCCTATTTTGTTATATGCTATACATAATTTCGTCAGGGTGGTATTCTTACATAGAGCCTCAGCCAGTGCTTTTCCTGTCGATTCTCCTAAATTATTACCGTCCAAATTCAAATTAGTCAGGGAGGTATTCTTGCATAGAGCCTCAGCCAGTGCTTTTCCTGCCGATTCTCCTATACTATTCCAACTCATATTTAACTCTGTCAGGGTGGTATTCTTGCATAGAGCCTCAGCCAGCGATTTTCCTGTTGATTCGCTTAAATTGTTGTTTTGCAAATTCAAATTAGTCAGGATGGTATTCTTGCATAGAGCCTCAGCTAGTGCTTTTCCTTTCCAATCACCTATATATTTGTTTTTAAGATCCCACATCGATGCATTCCTCCAATCTTCTGGCGTGTGTTGAGAATCATTAAGAACAACTTTCCAAAGTCCCAATGCCTTTACATATTTTTCTTCTTTAAAATATGACTGAACTTTATTTCTTAGGTCCGTAAGAGTACCTAAATTAATATTTTTAATTAATAGGCTCATCAATAGCATATTTTATTATACAGGAAATAATTATATAGTTAAGGGTTATTAGATCCATATTCTATCTTATATATTGTATATCATACCGTTTAATCTATTTTCATTTAAATTATCGGGATAAACATTAACAATTTGAAGATGCTGTAAACTTTCGTCTATAGTTTGATAATAATTCGAAAATTATTTTTCAGTAATAGCCAAATAATAAAATCTTAAATTTACCTATAAATTGAATAGAAGTTTTATTTGTGTCTTCTAAAAATAGATGATTCTTAGTTAAATGTTAAATTCTGAATTTATCAATTATAAAATAACGACCTTTATTGCTGCGCATTTTGATGGAACTACAATTAATCGAAATATCAGAATCCTCGAACGAATTCGAACTATCATCCGTAAGAAATTCTTCTACATTGGCTTTTATTTGATGTACTGGTTGTAATTTAACTTTTTCGAGATCGTCCAGAATAGCTTCAATCGTAGGACGTTTATTTGGTTCATTCTGCCAAGCACTAGAATAAATATTTACGTAATCTAACGGAGTGCCATCAACTGGTGTTTCTCTTTTTCCGTTAATAATAAGATCTGTTAGACTAATTTGACTATTAGGAACTTTCCCACTGGATATCTCCCAGAAAAGAAGACCTAAACTGTAGATATCGGAGGATTTTTCTCGTTTATAAGAAGGATCATTTAAAAATTGTGGGTCACAATAAAATCGCGATGCACATCCTGAAATAGATGTTGCAATTTCCTCGGATTTAGATATCCCAAAGTCCGTTATCATCAATCTACCATCATGTATTAAAACGTTTTTAGAATTCTAAAGTAATAAAATAAAGATCAGTGATTTTAATATAAATAAAATAAATTTATATTAAAATACTCACTAGATCTCGATGGATAATATTTGCTGCATGTATACAACATAATCCACCAGCAATTTCTTTAGCCATCTTGATTTTTCTAGGCCATTCAAGTTCATTAAAACAACCTCGTTTATATAAATCATGAAAATAATCACGTAGATTTCCCCCATTAGCATATTGAAATACCAAAAAGTAGGTGTCTATCTTTGGATCTAGTAGTATAAGACATTTAAACGTTAAAAACTTTTAAAGTGATTTTATTTTCTATATATTTACCCCGAGTAATTCCCAGAAATCTCGTAACATTATCACTATGATTAACAGCGCTGACATTTTGTAACTATTAATAATACATGAACAAAAATTAGTGGACCACGTTAAAAAAAGTCAATATATTTTTTTATTTCATTACCTCTCTTATAAACAATTTATAAAATTTCGGTTTATCTTTAACGTTAATGTGCAAGCTTTTTAAGACTACTGTGTTTCTTATACTTTTTAAGTATGCCTTTTCAACCTTACCAAAGCCTCCCGTTGCAATAAACTGAAATTCATTAAATGAGCTATAATCGAACGACTTAACATAACGATTTTTAATTTCATTAATAAACCATTCTTCTTTTTCGTCATTTGGATTTGAAAATGACATTATTTTTACACAAATACTTAATGTTTCTAATATTTTTACTTTGGTAAAATAAAATATCGATCTGCATGTAAATTAGATGCAATAATTAAATGTGTACGAGAGTCACACAAAATTAATTCTATTTTTTTTTTGTGCTGTATACTGTAATACATAAATGAAATTATATAAAAGTAAGTTAAATTTTCGTAGAAAGTATTATTTTTTATATATAATATTACATTAGTTGTAATAAATATTATTATATTTGGTAAAATAAAAACCTGAAATTTATTAAAAATAATTTTACAATTAAATATCAAATATTAATTTATATTTTAATTTATAATTAATTTTCACAAAATTATAAAATATGTTATGAAAATTATTTTAAATTTTTATTTTTCAATATAAATATTTTTAAAATTGAAATCATTATTTATTAAAATAATAATAATTTTTAATTAAAATTCTGCTTTTAAAAAATACATTAATATAAAATTGGCTACTTTTTTAATAAAATAAAAAATTTATGTTAATTATTTAAAACTCTTATTAAATAAATACTAATATCCTTTCACTAATTCCTTGATTAATTCAAAAAACTGATATTTTATAGAAGTTTTATTATTTTAATATAATTTATATACTTTTTTTAACATTATTATTTAAAACTAATTGTTTTTCATTTGTTTTTTTAAATAAATATTTTATTTTATCAAAAATTTATCTATAAAATTAAAAGCAAAAACAATTATTAAAAAAAACACAATAAAAAACAATTTTTTATTAAAAAAATTCAAAACATAAATTAAAATTATTATTTAACTTTTATAATTTTTTTGAGTCTTCTTTTTATTCTTTTAAAAGTATAAATATAAAATTTTTTGTTTATAAATTATTATAATTATGTAATCTATTATAAAATATATATTATATTATCAAATAATATTATTGTGCAATATTTATTTGAAATATAAGAGATTTTATTTATATTCTTATTTAAATTTTTATTTTATTTTTATTTTTTTTTTTACTGCAAATAAGCATAAAATATGAAACTTTTATTAAACAAGAGTTTATAATTATTATATTAAGTATTTATTTGAGTTAATACTAGTCTATTGCATATAAAACTTTTGAAATAATATTGTATCAAGTAAGTAATATTACATTAAAAGTGATTTATAATAGTTTATACCTATTTATAAAAGCTATATTAGTAAAAGAAAAAATAAAATTTTTAATGATTGGTTTTGAATATATTGTCTGGATCTATAAAACTATAATAATAGCTATTTTTGATTAAGAATTTGTTAATAGAATTTTGATATTGTTGCTTAAATCTGTAAAACCATAGGACAATTGATTAAAGGCTAAGTAAGATATATAAAAAATCTAGAATTTTTATATAAATATTTTTAAACTAGTATTGTGATATATAGTATTAATATTTCTTTTAACAAATCTATTACTTTTTCAGAGCTTTTTTCATATTATATCAGGTAAGATTTAGGCTTCTTTACTTGAAGCATATGATTTTTATTCAACTGAATTTTGCTAATACTTCCTTCTCTTTCTGTTATTACTTCTCTTAATGAAACTTTAATTATTTTTTTTATGGTTTCAATCGTTCTATCTTATAACAAGTATTGAATTATATAAGCTAATCATTTTACTCCTTCTTGCAATATTGATTACATATCTTAATTAGAAAGTTTGTATTAAGAAATAACTTTATTAAGATTGACACTATCTTCAATTCTTCTTATTACATCTAATCTTTTTTCTCTTGTACACATCATATTAGTTGTCTATTTATTAGTTATTACACAATTTTCATCACTTTTCTTTCTTTTATATTATAAGATATATCTTATTGTTAATGTTACATTATTCCATTTTACTAAGCTAAAATAAACTATCTGCTATTATTTCACTATACTAGCTAATAAACTATTCAAAACTATTTCTTATTTAAACTCTATAATTATATTAAAATCTAAAGTATTGCTATAAACTACTATCTATTAATTATTGAAAATTGAATATAAGATATATTAAA